ACAAACATAAACAGAACGTAAACCTGGTCTTCGGCGTCATAAGCGGACACTTTAACCAGGCTACCACCACCATTTAGTTAATGGTTGGGATGTAATACAATAAAATTTCAGGTCTTGGATCATGCTGTCTAAACAAAGCTTGATGTAAGGTCTATTTTTCAAGGCATGTATAATTAATTCACTGATTATACTTTTTCAAGACGGTAAATAACACACCAAGTGAGCTTTCAAATGTGTATATAGGACATTCTGGCTGTATTCAACTTTTAGAATGCTTCAACTGCATATACCTTAAATCCACTCAAATGAAATTTTTAGCAAAGGTGTCACCATTGCCTTGTTCTGGTTCTGTTTTGATGAGACCGAATTGTCCATGTTGCAAGAATACAAAGAAAGTGAACCTAAAATTTAACTTTTTCAGGAATGGTAATCCTGATTTATCTCATACCTTTTTCATTTGAGTATTTTGACTGACTGACTGACTGAGTTTGGTTTTACCTGCGCCGCTTTAGCAATATTCCAGCAACATCATGCCAGGGGGACACCAGAAATGGGCTTCACGAGAAATTTGCACCCATGTGGGGATTCGAACCCGGGTCATGCAGCATGACGAGCCAACGCTTTAGAACTACTAAGCCACCCCACCGCCCCCATTTGAGTATTCACTTGATTCTTTCATGACATGATGCCTAGTTTGAAATACATTTGTATCAGATACTAACATGCATGTACAAGTTACGGTTATGCCTCAATACATCCTGCTTCCATGCATGCACTGCCATATTGAAATGTCAGAATGAGGAGAGTAAATATGTTTAATGTTAAAGTAGTTATACAACAAAATATGAGTTAGATACCGAAACGCAGATACAAACACTGCCAACATACACTTTTCATACTAAACTTTTATATAGTGAGTGAGTACGTTTTATGTTGCTTTTAGCATTACTCCAGAAATTTGGCTGGGACACCAGAAATGCTCTTCACACAGTATAGCCGTAACAGGATTGAGCACAAGCTTCAGCTTATGACTGCGCTGACCTGGCTGCCACCGTGGTTGCCTGAGCAAACTACTATTCCTGGCAAAAAGGGACGTCTGAGTTTGAAGTTTAAAGCCCAGGGTGCAAAGCTCAAGTTCCAGCCACAAAGGGCCCTACAAGAAGGCTCTTTCCTTATTACATGGTGACCAGTGAGTGAGTGAGTTTAGTTTTACGCCGCACTCAGCAATATTCCAGCTGTATGTTGGTGGTCTGTAAATAATCGAGTCTGGACCAGAAAATCCAGTGATCAACATCAGGAACATCAGGAGCCTGACCACCAGATCCCGTTAGTCGCCTCTTACGAACAAGCATGGGTTACTGAAGGTTCATTCTAACCCAAATCTTCACGGGTTGGTGACCAGTGTGATCGATCACATAAATCAATACGATAAACCTGGAATCACAATCTGATAAGCCGAGTGCCAATAGTGCGGCCTACCATGAACCTCTTCAAGGGGACGGGGCTCCACATATCATTGACTTCTTTCTCAATAAACTCTTTACTTGTGTTCCTCATATGCTTTGATACTGGTTTTACATTGTGCCTCAATTATGCAGACAAACAGGGATTATTACCCCTATGTGTTTCCATACAGTACACATCATATGTTAGGAACAAAAACTATGGCACAAAGATGTTAATACATTCACATGTACTCCTAATACGTTCCATTTACAATATATGAAACAAATAATAGTAATAATAATCTCTGGGAATGTCAGTAATACTTCAGAGGTAGTAAATAGACGTGAAACGGTATACTGCGGTATTAATTAGAACCGTTTTCATTTTGCCTTTGGTTCTGTTTACAGTAATGCAATCAAACATTATTCAGTATTTTTCGGTTTTTGCACCATCATTTTATATACCTTTTAAACCTTTCTAAAATTGTTTAGGAATCGAATCATTTTGTCAAAATCTATCTAGGTTCGCCTCTTGTTGTCAATTTCCTGCATTATGATCATATCTCATTTACCAAACCGAAACGGACCGGACCGAAACAGACCGAACCGAAGGCCTTGTACCGCAATACGTAACGTACCGTGCCAAGAGCGTACTGTTTCACCCCTAGTAGTAAACCTTTTCTACATATGGTGTCTTAAGGTTTACAGCATTTCACAACATGGTGTTCAGCCTATAATCATGACTCGTCTTGTTACATCACTCACAGATGCATGGGCACATTTACTGTATGTCATATCACACATCCTAAGTGAACAGTTCGGTTTAATGTTACAGTAATTCATTGTGATAGACAAATATCATAAGCTGCTGTATACGGTTCAGTCACGCATGAAATGTTACTGGCTACCCAGGGTAAGTTGAGATGTGACCTCACAATTAACCCCCATGACATTATATGAGGGACACCCTCTGGTATGAACCATTGTAAAGACTGACTGACTGAGTTTGGTTTTACGCCGCTTTTAGCAATATTCCAGCAACATCACGGCAGGGGACACCAGAAATGGGCTTCACACATTGTACCCATGTGGGGATTTGAACCTGGGTCTTCGGCGTGACAAGCCAACACTTTAACCATTAGGCTACCCCACCGCCCCCATTGTAAAGAAAGGGGTATTAGGTGTTAGCCAACAAGTAGTACCATAGATATGTGCACAACACACATACACCCTCTCTACCTGCAACAAACCAAGCAGGATTGCCCAAATGCTGTGGAGCGCGTTCTTGTCTCAACTTGTTTTGTGAGTTGGTTCAACTTATCCTGGATTACCAATAAAAACATTCCTGTAGTCTTGATCTTTGGTATCTATTCCTAAGCATCATCATCATCATCATCATCATCACGTCAGGCAGCAGTATGCAGCACACACCTATCTCCCTGTGAAGATTCCGTGATCTATTCATGCAAACTGACAGGCTTGGGTGACACTTACCTGAGTCTCTACGAGATGAGTACCCCGAGTACCTCCCCCTGCCACGCCCTCTCCGGTAGCCACGCCCCCTTTCACTCAACACACTGTCAGTCAAGTAGCCAGATGTCCGCCTCTCTTCTGCCATTACTTCTGCAGACCAATCACCAACAGGCTCTGGAGACGTGGCTTCATCCCCTGATACCAATACAGAGAGAGTGAGGTGGGATTTGGAGGTCATACATCATCATGAATGGCTTCACAGAACAGATGTTGTGCCTAGGGTCTAAAATTGCAGCAACATCCTAATGGGAGCTCTGCCAGAGAAGCATCCTATAAATTGATCAGATGAAAGAATCAAAGCATGGTCTAGATAAACAAAAACACTGACTACACAACCAGGCTGCCCTGCAGTTGTATTCAGGTTGTGAAATCAGTTCATCTCACCAGTGTTCATGCCATGCCGCTCTGTTGCCCATCTCCGTCCTCGCCCCATGCCACGTCCACCTCGGCCACGCCTTCCTCTTTCATCTGTGTAAGGGTCATTGCTCCCTCTAGAAATGTAAACATTTATTAGACAACTATGACTAAACAAAGTATTGAAGAGCTGCAACTGAAGCAGATACTGTCTGGTGAACCCAAACTTTCTTGCCCAGTGGAAGATGGCAAAATATTCAGTCCTCAACTTCATACAATGTAACAGCTATTGTTTATGGATGAAGCAGCTTAGTAACTTTACATTGACAATACAAATGAAACTTTCAAATGGAATTGCTCAATTAAAGGAGCCAGGGTGATAAGCACATAAATGGCTTACACATATTGAGGGGCAGTCTAGCCACATCATAGGGGTCTACACAGAGCTTTGGATAACTTTGTTCACGCAAAGTGATACAATGTTGTTTTCTTACCCCTGGTAAAAAGTTTGACGAAAGCGTAACCCATAGATAAGCCACCCCCCTTCTACAGACTGCTTTTTTTGGTCCTCAAAATTCAGCTTATCTATGGCAATTTACGGTATTCTCCCTTTCATGACCAGAATAATCAACAATCGTACAATTCAGAGAAAATCAACCAGGTTTTACTAAGCTAAGTTGCGCCAGAACCTCTAAACCATCACTTTAGAGCAGACAACAACTAAACAGACTGATTCCATAATGCCTTCAAACTGAACAAACGAACCTCCTTTCCCCGCGGAGGGGAAAGTAGGGCCCAGACTGGGGCCAGAGAGACTCTTCAGCTGTTGGTCTATCTCCTGCTTTGCTTGTCGCAGCTGCTCCACTTCCTGTGGTACAAATTAAATGAACAAACTGATGGGATGTTCAGGCTCTCAAGGAAGGCCACATCTTTCTTTATGCTTTATGACTGACCATTTAATAATTATAAACTTATGTCACGAAAGTCTTAGGTGTGATACACGCTGGTTTTCTTTCTACAGTAATATCAAAACTGTTCCAGAAAGAAACACATGCCACTTTCATCACAACAACCAATAGGTATTAAAGAGCATAAATTGGTTTCCTTCTTTCTTTTAAAATGAATATGTCTATTCACGTTATCCATATAGTGGCTATTGTGTATTTAATTACAATTTCAATTTCATTTCACTATAGAGGTATATGGAAATATTAGTGTTACTTTTTTAAGTTTAATAACAAGTACTCTAATTATACTGTTAATATGTAGGTTTAATGATAGGAACAAATTATCTCAGTCAGCTGTATATTCAAGGAATGTAGAAGACATAGAACTTACCCGTAAAATGTGTTAAGAGGTAATCTTATAACAGCTGTGCATTTGCAATACTTTCTACAGTTCCGACGAAAATGAAAGGCACCTGTCCCTGAAATTCAAAGGTCTGAAAACTCATTCGAGATCCGATCATCTTAAAATTTTATCTCACAAACAATGAACACAACAGATATCAGAAAACTGATAGTTAATATTTGGGATCAAGTTATCTGTCCATACCATCAGGGCAGGCAGGGTGAAAAGAGGTGCCATGTATTGTTGACTTCTAACGGCACTTATGAAATGTGAAATTGGGCTTAGAGGCTTAAAACACGCTCAAGATCTTTCTTTTTTTTGAGAGAGAGAGAGAGAGAGAGGGAGGGGTGGGGGTGGGGTGGGTGGGGTGGCGTATGAATTCGTGATGCTGATTGTACTTGTCTGGACTTAATTGGGTAGTCTGCCGATACACTGAAATTTCATGCAGTAGATTCTCGCCTTATTCAGACACTCATAATACTGACACCTGGTCGTCCAATCTTGGTTTTATCTGTCGATACCGAACGCCAGGCAGGGTGAAAAGAGGTGCCTGTTTTAAGGTCTTTTTTAGGAGTCTTCCGCTCTCTGGGCAGACACACTATCCACTATACTAGAGCAGTGGGGTAGCTAGTTGTTAAAGCGTCCGCTCGTCACTCCAAAGAACAGAGTTCAATTCCCCACATGGGTACAATGTGTGAGGCCCAATTCTGGTGTCCCCCGCCGTGATATTGCTGCAATATTGCTAAGATTGGCGTAAAACTAAGACCCAATCACTCACAACCCACTATACTGGGAAGGCTGTCTAAAACAATAAAGGGCAATCGTGACTGAAAACTAACTTTCGATAAAATATGTGTTATGTCCTGGCACATATTGTAGTCAGTCTCAAAAGTGTGTATTGAGTATACGTAAACACACCTTGTATAAATGTACATACAGGCGAAGACAGACGTTATCAGTTATGCTGCTACTACTACTACTACTACTACTACTACTACTACTACTACTACTACTACTACTACTACTACTACTACTACTACTACTGCCACTACAGCGTCTTCAGAACGTAGTTCCCACATTTGCACAGTTTCTGCAATTGCCAAGTGGCAGGATTCAGAAAAAACGTCATTTGAACAAATGACGTTTTTTTCTGAATCTTGCCACCACAGTTTCTGCATATTGCCAAGTGGCGGGATTCAGAAAAAAAACGTCATTTGAACAAATGACGTTTTTTTCTGAATCTTGCCACTTGGCAATTGCAGAAACTGTGCAAATGTGGGAACTACGTTCTGAAGACGCTGTAGTCGTAGGTAGTAGTAGTAGCAGCAGCAGCAGCAGTAGTAGTAGTAGTAGTAGTAGTTTATTTCGGTAAATCAGACCACAGGCCCATTTTACAATTAGTTATCAACAAAGATGTTGATGCTGCGACACCAGTGCATGTAGCAATGTTTAAGTTCAACAAGTTATATCTAGTACAATATACACGTGACTATAAAATGTGTAGGTTATGTAATGGACAATTGCTTGCTCCTCATTTTCAGAGCAAAGAAAGTAAACTTGGCAAGGTTATTAAGCATGAAAGTATTTTTGGTGGTAAATAAAAGTTTACATTTACACTCTGAAGGAAATTTGTAGTAATAACTTCTTCTAAGGTCATTATTAAATGGACACATTAGACAGACATGGTATTCTGTTTCTACATTTGGGATGATACAGAATGGACAAAGTCTTTCACGTTTAGGTATGCCTAATTTTCTACCCTGTGATATCATAAGATCAGTACTGGATGTACGAAATTGTGAAAGAGTAATCCTAAATGCATCAATATTCACAGCATTTAAATAGTTTTCAGATTCATTACATAACTTGATTGTTTTGTAAAAATACAATGAAGATAATTTGTCAAACGATTCAAAGAGAAACTGATTATCAATATCAGTACACCGTGTTCTAAAAGTTGATAGAATTGATTGAATGCAGGAAACAGATTGCCGGTTCCAAATTTCACGACATCCATATGAACATGAAGACGCTGTATAAACACATACATGTACAGATGTCATTGACGTCACACTACATGCCGATTTAGTTGACTTTATCATTATAACGCCCAAACTGTGACAACATTGCAGAGCAGCCAACATTCTACAACATTTTCAATATATAGTTGATATATGAGCCCACCTTTGTTAAGCTAATGGTCACATAGAGGTACATGTAATTCGTGGGTGACTTCGGAAAACTGTATCATTCGATCGACATAAAGAAATGAAAGCTGCGTGAACAAAAACAAACTTCGATCCATGTCATTTCATGTCATATTTCAACTTCCCAATTCGGATTTATAACTTCCTTTAGTGAATAACTGATAACGTCTGTCTAGGCCTGTATGTACATTTATACAAGGTGTGTTTACGTATACTCAATACACACTTTTGAGACTGACTACAATATGTGCCAGGACATAACACATATTTTATCGAAAGTTAGTTTTCAGTCACGATTGCCCTTTATTGTTTTAGACAGCCTTCCCAGTATAGTGGGTTGTGAGTGATTGGGTCTTAGTTTTACGCCAATCTTAGCAATATTGCAGCAATATCACGGCGGGGGACACCAGAATTGGGCCTCACACATTGTACCCATGTGGGGAATCGAACTCTGTTCTTTGGAGTGACGAGCGGACGCTTTAACAACTAGCTACCCCACTGCTCTAGTATAGTGGATAGTGTGTCTGCCCAGAGAGCGGAAGACTCCTAAAAAAAGACCTTAAAACAGGCACCTCTTTTCACCCTGCCTGGCGTTCGGTATCGACAGGTAAAACCAAGATTGGACGACCAGGTGTCAGTATTATGAGTGTCTGAATAAGGCGAGAATCTACTGCATGAAATTTCAGTGTATCGGCAGACTACCCAATTAAGTCCAGACAAGTACAATCAGCATCACGAATTCATACGCCACCCCACCCCTCTCCTCTCTCTCTCTCCTCCTCTCTTCTAAGCCTCTCTCTCTCTCTCTCAACAAAAAAAGAAAGATCTTGAGCGTGTTTTAAGCCTCTAAGCCAAGAATTTGTTACATTTCATAAGCGCCGTTAGAAGTCAACAATACATGTCCTTTGCATGACACAGAATACTAGTGTGAGCAGGCGGGAGTGCGAGGGGTGTTGAGTCGACAGTCAAGACACGCTGCTGGTAGCCGTTATCTATTTAGCAATGGTTGTCAATATTTTGTTTGAGTGTCACTTTTAAGTTGATGAACAAGATCGTTTTCATCCTCGGCAAATAGTATTCATATACTTAGGTAATTCAGCCGTATATGCCGAGTGTGATAGGTTTCCCTTATACATTGAAGCAAATATGAAAGTGTATGAAACTTGTTAAATATTGGTTAACATTATTGAGTCTGTTTCCAAGCAGATTACCAAAAAAATGTTATAACATGACGATTATTTATGATAGAAATGGGAAAAGGAATTGGGTCACAAACGTAAAAGATTTTTTATTTCCTATTGGACTTGGAAATGCATGGTATGAACAGGAAATAAAATATCACTCATCTGTTAAACAACGACTTAAAGATATATGTACAAAACTGAAATGAAAACGTATCTCTTTCTGGCGATTTTTTTTAATTATAAAATCATTAAACAATCTATCAAGTATCCATAAAGAAAAATCTCTGTCAAACGTAAAATGTGTTAAAGGTAAGAAAATTCGTCGACCCAAGTGTTTGTAACGTATCGTTGAAATTCTGTAACTTCTCCCCATCTGGACCATCATTCATCACCTCTAGCCAAGCATCTTGGACTTGTCGTAGAGGCAGGAGATGAAGGGTGGCGAATGTCCGGACATGCTGCTGAATGTGAGCATCGTTCCTGTAGTCCACTGAAAGTCCAATGGTTGAAACATGACGCAGCAAGGCTTGAGTGAAGTGGAAGAATCGTCTGAATCTGAAAGGACTTCTTGGATGGCACAAATGACAGCAACATCAAAGTCAGTTTGAATGGTTACTGGTGACAGTTCCATTCCAGTTGTGGTCAGTGTCAATGTCATGAGAATGTTGAAGAGACGCACATATACTTCTCTCGACTTCTAAGGAAGAGAGAATATGAAACAATATTGTCATTTTCTTTGCAAGCACACTGTTTCATGTTAACAATTCAATTCACATTGTAGCATATTTCTAATGCTCTTGAAATATATTCTCAGGCGAGCTCATTAATTGTTTTTTAAATGTCAAAGGGGTGTTTATGCTGTCCCTATTCGCCTACAATACTCAGTGAAGGCTGGTGTTGGGATGTAGGCGAATGTGAAGTAGGCAAAATGAGAACCAACCGTTCAACTATCCTTCTCACACCCATATCTATACAGACGCCTCAACTAAGGCCAACATAGGCATCATCCATGTACATTAACAATCTCCCTTAGCCGCAAACATGCACTATACTAACTTCACAACTATCAACACAGCAATACTAATTATACTGAACTCTACTTAATTCAGGCACTTCAGCGATCCCACTCCCTCATTATCGCCGACTCACTAAGTGCAATCACCCAGGTACAAAACATGCATTCCTAATCCAGAAACGACATTATTCCCCTTATCCAACAATTATATACTTTCATCAATCAAATAAACAAACACATTTCCTATGGATCCCACCACACACAGACAAATGGTGTCCTCCTATAAGAACTACAGTCTTAAAGGGGAAGTGTACACGAATAAATCACATTTATTCTTCTGTGTATCAAAGTGAACTGTTTTAATTAGTTAATACCAATGTTTGAAAATATACACTCATTTTTCTTACAATGTAAGTATAACCCTCAAAATAAGTGCTGAAATGTTATGCCAATATGAAGCCTTTGTTTGCCGAACTAAACAGGCCAGAGTTACCGCCCTTTGATTATGACGTAATTGGTGCCACTTGATTTTAAACTGATCAACTGTCTAGTCCCAAATCAAAAGATAATAATACTGAAATTAATCACGTGAAAAACGTTTGTGAAAATTCGAAAGAAGCATAAGAACAGAAAATGTAAGCAGCAGGACAGATTGATCATGTGTGTTTTTATTCACAACCTCACCTCAATGAAAATACCAAATATGTATAACAATGTTGACGTCCGTATGACATCACTATCGGGAAGCGACTTTTTCAAAATGGCGTGTTCACTAACACGAGTACGCCGGAGTTGTCGAAGAAATTTTCGTTGTTTCAAGCAACGTATATGCATAAATGTGACATGTAAGTAGTCCGAAATTTCTATCAGTCTGCTGGTCGTTATTTTCTTCTTGTTTTCATTGTGACCAAGGGGAATAGTCAGAAATTAAGAGAGGTACCGTCATCGTTGTGTGTGTGTTTGCGTCAGTCATGGCGTCACGCTTTCAGAAACCATGATATGTTGTGATGAATCTAGAAAAGCAATCGAATACACCTATTTTATTTTACTATCGCTTGCTACAATACCTTTCTCATGCATGTTCTAAAACTAATGAGCATGTGTATGCAACAAGTAGGCGAGCGGATACACAGTGTAAAATCTGAGATTGGCTTTGTTCACATTTCAAACAAGTGGTCCTTTCCAAGCGCGGCATCTGATATATTTCGTTCGATTTTACTGAAACACTTCGAATTGGTGACAAAGTCCATTTGTCAGTTTATTTTGAACCGTATGAGAAATTCAGGGATTCGTGTCAGGAAGATTGTGTTGAACTATATACAATTGATTTTATGGGCGAAATATAGCCGACATACATGTGGCGTGATTTTATAAACACTCTGTAAAATGGCTAAAAATTAACTTTGACGTTAATTGTGTTTGCAAGCGTATTTTCCAAAACATTCTCAGCGATTCTCGGTTCATCGACAATGTTTCAGAACGAGCATTAGTGATTTGATCATACAACAACAAAACTACCGCTGATCACAATGATAGGTCTTTTTCTTTCAAATTCAATTCTCCCAGTAAAATTTGACATTTGAATTAAGACACGCAAAACGCAGTGAATGGTGATGTAGTAATGTGTCAAAACTGGCGAGATTTACGATGCATGTAATTTTCAGTATATATGATCTACAATGAGCGAATGATATAGAAAAACGAATTTCAAATAGAGTTCAAAAGGGCAAATTGCTTTTATTTTCGTGATGTACATGGATATGGTATCGATATCAAAGTGAAGGTGGAAGAGGAAGGACAAATTGTACGATTTAATGAGCAAGTTTAGTAACAAACGTAGAATGCCGGCACATTCGCCGATGGCAAGCTAGATGTAGTGCACATTTTAGTTTTTGTGAAAAAATATATCGTTGAAAAGGCGACCGACACAGGTTGAATGTTATACAATTTGGTTACGTGGTAACACATTTAGTACAATGTATACGTTTTTTCAAACTGCAACGTCATTACAGTGTAGAACTGACATATATATATATATATAGCCAGCTGACGGCCAGGCAACAGGTGGATTAAAACAGTAGCCTCCGCATCGAGACACAAGAACCGCACCTATACCTGCGCCACGTGAAATGGGTCTAATAAGGTCTAACGACGTCATTCGTTTATCATTTGGGCACCAATGACGTCATTTCCAAGGGACATAAGCCATGGTGTGTTTATTGTGGACACAGAACTCTCGGTAAATGTTGAAAATATGAATTGATATAACGCAAAAAATAAATTAGTTACTTCTGATATATGTACGGGTTTGGATATAAAACTACTTGACAAACATTTTTCATGATGAAAAAGTGCAAGACAAAAAGGTTTATTTTCGTGTACACTTGCCCTTTAAACAACACTGGTCAGGGTCGAAAAACTTGGTAAACACCTATAGGAACTGCAGGGTGACAAAAACCACAGGGTAAACTATAAGTAAAACAAAACAAGCTTCTGTTCTGAACTTTTGTATCTTGTATGTTATATTCATATTTCAACACCTTGTCAATGGATGCCCTTCCTTGGAACAAAGAGCATATCTTAAGAGACATGATGGCATGGCTCGTTGCTTTATTACCGTCTTCGTCATGTCTGTGGCTTTGACTCCGAGGTCAATCCATGGTACGACCCTGAACATGTCCAGGGCGTCATGGAAAATGATGCTTTCAAACTTCTGTGGAATAGGCCCATAGACAGCCTCCTGCCAACAAACTTGATCTTGTGCGTTTTGATAAAGCCAATGAATTTATTTATGTCATTGAATTTTCTGTCCCTTGTGACAGCAATGTGATTGACAAGATTCAGGAAAAGCATGATAAATATGCGGACCACGCCTTTGAAATGTCTCCCTTGCATCCCAAGTACACTGTCGTCAGGCTCCCCATTGTTCTCGGTGCCCTTGGTTTGGTACCTCCTGATCTCTTGGCGCAGATCAGGAAAGTGCCCGGGTTCTACTCCAGGAACACAGCCCTTCTGACACTCTGGGTAATGCAGAAGGCTTCAGTGTTGGGGAGTCTACATATTCTCCGGAAAGTTATTGGTGGGTTCGACTAGGCAGTGTTTCCTGGGAGAAGTCCTATTCGTTGTCTGGGCTGTGTGTAGAGGGGGAGAGAGCCCTGAGCTGATGATGAGCCTTACCAACCTAACTGTGCCAGGATCACCCGAACCCTCTCTGCTGCATTTTTCATCTTTAATCTGTAAAACATAATCATAATATATATCAGCACTGGAAAGTATTTCAGATTGTTTTCACATTGATTGTTTCACTGGGTTTCACGTATTTCACTGGATTGTTTTACTGGGAT